TATATATATATATAGACTTGAGATCATGTGAGACCAATAGTTTTTCGTGAGACCCGTAAGACCAATTCTCAACCCTTGGATTAGATTTACAGTCGTCAGATCCGAACATTCATAAACGCCACGAGACTTCTCAATAATTACAAAATTGCCATCTTGTAACTTTAGACCATTAGATTATAAAGTTGATCAATGAACATAAATTGGTCTTACGGGTCTCACGAAAAACTCTTGGTCTCACGTGAACCCAACTATATATATATGAGCGATCAAATAATATCATCCCAATTTATACAAACCTTGCAAACCAATTACAATTAATCACATAAATCTTTTTTTTTTAATTTATAAGGGTATTATGGTCATTTGAATTTATAATAGTTATGTTTGGTAAGTATTTAATGTTAATAGATAAGTTTGGTAACAACATAGTATTTATATAAATATGAATGATATATTGATTACCACAATATTAGCAAAGTTTTAATTGAGGTATCCATTAATTTTTTTGAAAAAAATAGTCACATTTTGAAAAAATGTAGAATAATTTTGTTTAAAAAAATGGTCACTAATTTCCAATGAAACAAATTCAAATTGTTCAATGAAACAGATCAATTTCCAATTAAACAAACTCAATCTGTTTAATGAAACATAGTCATATATGATTGCATCATGTTTATACGTATAACAGCTGTAATGAAACAAATTTATATTGATAGGTATGTATAACAGTTTGTAATGAAACAAGTTCATATGTATAACAACTGTAATGAAATAAGTTCATTGGTCATATATGATTGCATCAGGTTCATATGTATAACAGCTGTAATGGAACAAGTTCATAGAATATGTTTTTCCCATTTTGCCCTTTCGTGTCTCCAATATGAATTTTTTTTTTAGTTTACTTATTTAATTTGTTTCAAACTTGGTCTTTAATCAAAACAATGGATGAATGTGATTAGTTTGTAAGATTTGTATGAAATGGATGGTTTGCAAAGTAAACCTTATATATATATATATATATATATATATATATATATATATATATATATACACACACATATAAAAGAAAAAGGGAAGAGAGAGAGAGACGAGTTCATACTAAAATAATATGTATTTAAGAAAATCAGAGAATGAATAGGAATCAAACATTTCCATTATATAATATCTTAAATAATTATTTTGAAAATAAATAAATAAGGACATAAAGGTAATTTAGTTATATAAAAGTTGTTTAAGATTATTTTACTTTTATCATAATTATGATTTAATTTTTATATTTTATATTTAATGCATTTAAATTTTTATATTTTATATTTAATGCATTTAAAATTAGAATATTTAATTTTCATCTGAAGAATTCATTTTTTTATTAAAAGCAATATTTAAAAAAATTATAGTATTCATCAAAATCATATGTGATTCACAATTAATTATTATTATTATTATTAAAATATTTTTCTAATCACGTGTGATTTAAAACTCGAAAACGAATTATTCAAATTAAATATTGAAAAAGAAGAAATAATGAAAATATAATCACATGTGATGTGTAGCAAAACACATTTAAAATATATAAGATCACATGTACATCAAAACGTAATTCGTAATTCACATATCACATGTAATGTTGTAGATAACTTACATTTCTTTTCTACTATGATCAATATCATATATGATACATTGAGGAAAATCAGTTCTTTTTAGGAAAAAAAAAAGGTCGATTAATTGTGCATATCACATATGATTTTTGACGAAGAAGTAAGAAATAAATAAATGAAAAATTAATCATGCTTAGATCATGAAAACTATAAAAAAATCATGAATAAATACCTTAAAAAATGTATTAAATAATCTTTATAAAAATAAATGAATTTCCATATACAATTTGTATACAACAAATGACACATATGCCCTTTTGGGCGATTTTTAAAAAGTTTTATTTAAAGTATTGTTCAAATAAATGATTGGCCCGGAATTATTTTTTATTTTCTTAAATACGTATCATTCTCGTATGAACCTCCCTATATATATAAAAGACATTCTTTTGAGAACTCTTTAAATCTTGAGATCTCTTACAATCAGTGTATCATGTGCTATTTCATATGATTTTTTTTCCATATATAGCTAAGATTTAATGTAGTTATTAATATATTTGTTTCACAATGTTAACCTTTTTTGGTGTGTTAGTGAAAAAAAAAATACACGTACAATAGTTTCACATTGTGAACAAAATTAATATAAAACAAACACATTGTAAAACACATATGTATTAATCAACATATTTAAATAATATACTTAGATGAAAAAATCATGTGAAACATAATCTTAAGATAAAAGTTCTCATATATTGTCAAATAATTAAGCATACATACACACACACACACACACATATATATATATATATATATATATATAAAGAGAGAGAGAGAGATGAGCGATAAAATGCAAACCACTCAATTTGTACAAATCGTGCAAACCACCCTCATTCACCGATTTCATTGTTTAATCTTATGAAATTTTTTAATGAAATTGTTTCATATAATACTTTTTTTTTGATGAAGTTGTTTTATATATGGTTATGAAATTGTTTCATATAATACTAAATGAAATTTTAATGAAACTGTTTCATGTATTTTTCTAAACTTAAAATAATGAAGATGATAATATTCATGATTAACACCCTCCACAATAAAAATGATTAATCAACATCTCATAATTACAAAAAAAAATGCATAAAATGAAAAATTATGATTAGTTGAATGAGGTTTATACAAATAATGTGGTTTGCAAAGTAAATCTCATCTCTCTATATATAGGGGGTTTTGTTTCATATAAGATTTCGACATTATATATGAAATGATTTTGTCATATAGTGGACACTATAATAATAAAAGAGTAAATTAGTACTCTTACATAAATCATCCTTGTGTTCTACTCAAATTTCATTATCTACCACTACATTATTGAAACTACACCAGCAACCTCATCGTTTCCATTTGCTTGCACCTTCCATCTTTTGCCCAAATGACCATTAAACTTTATTCTGTAGTCCACCAAGTGCAAGTCACATGAGGGTGTTTTAGTCATTTGCATTCTTTTATGAAATAATTTTGTATGTACAAGTATGTTAAGCATTTGTACAATTGTGTAAAACATTAAAACCCCCAGCCCCTCCCCCTACATATCCTTTATAGACAACCACCAAACGGATGTTCCATAATGAGTTTGGTCATATCTATTGTTAACAAAAGATTCTCCATCTTTTATACCTAGATGGCCTGATTGCTATGGTTAAACGTGAGTTTTCTAAGATCTATGATCCTAAATGGATGGTTGTATGATGAGTTTTAGTTATATATACAGGAGTTTGATTCTTTTAGTTTCATATTGTTACTAATGGAATTTTATTGTATTGAAATTTAAAGGTTTATTCCTCATCAACTTAATTGTATCCCTTAATTGTTTATGCTATTGGATTTCCTTTCTCATCATAGTTCGTAATGATGTGAATCTCTATTTCCTAATAAGTGGCATAGTTCAATAAGATTAGGGATTTTGTAGTGTATGTGCCTATATTTCTATGGGCGGATTAAATAATAACTAGTGGGTGTTTGTGCACTGGTCTATCAGGCAGATTCAATGAAAAAGTTTATGGGTTTTCAAGGTGCATCCACTTTAGTTTGACGTGTGTTGGCTGTAACCTGTAAGTAATGTCATTATATGTGGAATTACAAGTTGCAAATTCAAGTCCCTTTAGTTCTTTTTAGTTTTTTGTAACCTGGGGATGATGCACATATATTGGGTTGGGGTCCTGGGCCCCCAACAAAATCAAGTCTAGAAAGCTCAGATTTTTTTTATTTTACTTACAGATTTTATGACTATGTGATCGGGGCCCCAATAAAATAAACATGAAGACCCCACTCCTAGCCTAATCCATAATTCATTTCACCTTCATGACTTCACCTTCATCACTCAATCATTCCACCATGAGTTCGACTTCACCTTCATCGCTTCTTACTTCTTGCACTGCTTCCTGCGGTTGCTTCACTTCTAGCACTGTTTCCTCTTCTTTTGCCTTCCTGCTTGCTTCTTGTAGTGCACCGTGCATTGCTTGCTTCCTACGGCTGCAACTACTTGGCTACTCCAAATTGGGCAAAACCTAAACTTTTGATTTTCAATCTTTAATTTTTAATGACTTTGATTTTGTTGTTTGCTTCATAATTGTTGATTTGGTGAATTCTTATGTTAGATTAACTTTGCAATCTTGTAGGCAAATGAAAATGTTACTATTGATAAAGATAAACCATTGATTTTTATCTTGTTATTGCTATTGTTAGAAAAAATGGAAATATCTTTTAAAAGGAAAGCATCAACACCTGAATCGAACTCTGCTCCTTCAATGCCTTACAAAATTGATTTATACGATCTTCCATGGGATCCAGCCGATAGGAATAAGGTTTTGGAATGTCATCCTAATCAAAGGGATGAAATAAAGAGAAAATCCTTGATTAAAGGACCTTGTCAACCACGAGGTCATGCATTTCCAAAAAAAAATTGTCGGGAGTAAAGGAAGACGTTTTTGTCCTGCTTTGTTTGATCAAATACGCTAATTGGTTGGAGTATAGTGTAAAAACGGATAAAGATTTTTGTTTAGGTTGTTATTTGTTTAGAGATCATTACGTAGGACAATGTGGGAGTGATACTTTTGTAACAGATGGCTGTAATAGTTGGAATAAAACGAAAAGACTTGGTCTTCATGTCGACGACATTAATAGTTTTCACAATAGAGCACTTAAGAAAAATGAGGATCTAATGAGCCAAGATCGATCTATTACCGTTGCCTTTCATAAGCAAACTGAGAAGGAGAAGAATGAGCACCGAATACGATTAAATGCTTTAATTAAGTTCTGTAGATTCTTGTTGAAGAATGCATTGCCCTTTCCTGGTTACGATGAATCCGAAATGTCTATTTCTAAAGGCACGTTCTTAGAAACATTAGCCTTAATTGGTAATTTCAATGAGGATGTAGGTAAAGTTATATTAAAAAATGTTCCAAAGATAATCAAATGGTGTCTTCAAGTATTCAAAAATATATTGGTGCTTGTTTTGCAAATCAAATACTCAAAAATCCATTCGTAAAGAAGATGATGATGTGTTCTCATTGCTAGTTGATGAGTCTAGTGACGTTTATAAGAACGAACAAATGGTGGTGGTTTTACGATATGTTGATGCACATGGTATTGTTAAAGAGAGATTTTTTGGTATTGTTCATGTGACAGAGACATCTTCTTCAATTCTTAAATATGCCATTGATACTTTATTTGTTGAACATGGATTGAGTTTGAAACAGGTAAGGGGGCAAGGTTATGACGGAGCAAGTAATATGTGCGGTGAGTTCAATGGATTAAAGGCCTTGATCTTGAATGAAAATAGCTCGGGATATTATATCCATAGTTTTGTTCGCCAACGTCAATTAGTTATTGTGGCGGTTGCAAATAAACATGACGAAGTTGAGAACTTTTTTAATATGTTAGGAATGGTGATCAATGTGGCGAATGCTTCTTGCAAGCGTAAAGACATGCTTCGACAAAGTTATAAAGATAGAGTGCAAGAAGCAATTGGTAAGTGTGAAATTGAAATTGGAACAGGGAAGTACCAAGAGCTTTCTCTTATACGAGCCGGAGATACACGGTGGGGTTCTCGTTACAAAACCATTCTGAGCTTGATTGCTTTGTTTCCGGATGTTGTTGAAGTGCTCCAGTATGTTGAAGAGGACGGGATAATGGTTTTAGTCGCACTCAAGCAACTGGTATTTTAGCATATTTGAAGACATTTGATTTCGTGATTATTTGCATTTGATGTTTCATATTTTAGAGGTCACAGACTTGTCGTCACGGGCTCTTCAAAAAAATGATCAAGATATTTTGGAAACGATTTCATTGATAAGAGGCACCAAACAACTATTACAACAATTTAGAGAAACTGGTTTTGATCCACTTTTGAAGAAAATATATTCTTTTTGTGAAGCAAATGATATTAAATCTTTGGATATGGAAGACCGTCATTCAAAAAACGGAAGACAAATGACCAACATCACCAATTGTCATTATTACAAGTTTGATATTTTCAACACTGTTGTGGACATGCAAATTCAAGAGTTTGGGGATCGATTTAGTGAGGTAAGCACTGAATTGCTTGAAAATATAAAACAACTTTGAGTCCACGTGATTCATTTTCGCAGTTCAATGTATCAGACTTATTGAAGTTGAGTGAGTTGTATCCTCATGATTTCAGTCGTATGGAAAGGATCACTCTTGAGAAACAACTTAACATGTACTATTTGATTGTGTGTTAAGATGAAAGATTTGCCGATTTGAGTGGTATTGCCGAGCTCGCTAGATTTCTAGTGGAAAAAAAAAATATACAACTTATCCTCTAGTATATCGGTTATTGAAGTTAGCTTTGGTTTTGCCAGTTGCTACTGCAACAGTCGAAAGATATTTTTATGCTATGAAGATTGTGAAGTCATATTTGCTCAACAAAATCGGTGATGAATTTTTTAATGCTGCAATGATATGTACTACAGAAAAAGAAGCATTTTTCACAGTTAAAATGATGATGTAATTAGTCAATTCCAAAAGATGAAGATTTATATGGCACAGTTGTAAGAGGTAACTTTTTATCATTTTTGTATGAAATTGAAGTTAATTATTATTTTATCTTATATCATGCCCCCTATAATAATTTTTTTTTTTGCATCTGCCACTGTTTGTAACAACAATAGAATGAAGGAAAAAACCACTTGGGCGTTGCAAAAAACTACGCGTATGTCATTTTCCATTAAACTATCCTTGTTACACCCGGAATTTTGCTCCCTTGCATATTTTCACCTTAAAATGTACTTTTATCAAATTGCGATTTTGAGAATTATTATGGAGTGAATTTTATGTTGAGACCTAAGAAAGAAGTGCTTGGGAGTCCAAGCAGTGGACAATGCCTGTTGGCGTGCAATTTTAGCCACGCCATAACCTGCATTAGGGTTTGTTTGTTTATTTATTTGGATGCAACTGACTATTGGTGCGGATTTAACCGCGGCCAAAGTTGCATTTGTGCCCAGATCGGCTTTTAAGCAATTTTCTCTAGGGTTTTCTCATTTATGTCCTACCACCTCTCATCCTCTTCCTCTCTTGGCATTTTGGCTCCATGGAAAGTGATATTAGAGGCTTTTAGAGAAAATGGAGGGAAGATTTTACAGATGAAAGAACCATGGAGGTTGATCTCAAGATTTGGAAGAGGTAAACAATTTTGGGTATTTTGAGTTTTAGCTTGGGTTTGTTGTGGATCTGATCTTGTGGTTACATTTGGTGTCTTTCTAGACATGGGTTGTTACTTTGAGAAAGTTTCTAAGGGTTCTAGTTTATGGATATCAAATCTTCAACAATGGAAACTAGATATTCGGTTTGGAAACTAGGTTTAACCTAACCTAGCAAAGTGAGTTCAAGTTGGTTTGTGAAAAAAATTGTACATGCCGAAAATGTATACTTTGGGGTCTTAAAGTATTTTCCTTGATATTTATCAAATGTGTTGAGTATCTGATGATATTTACATATTTGGTACATTTAGGTTAATAAATCTTGAAAATACATTTATTATGTTATGAGACATTTTAAAATACAAATAGTATGGTATCAATCAGAAAATGATTTATCCCAACCAATAATAGAATTTTTGAGTTAATCATTGGAGCATGTGTTTTCATAAACGTTGGTTAAACACGTCTTTATTGTTTAAGATGACTTTGTTTGAATAATCAATTGAATTATTAAGCTTTTGGCTCGGATTTCATTCAAGGGAGTCTTAGGGACATTTATTTAGTTTAAAATTGCTCTATATGGAGCTTTTGGAGTTATATGCAGTTATGACATTTATTTGTAAGTTACGTGTTTTGAATGTGTTGGTCATTCTTTTTGGGGTCATGTAATTTAGGCTGTAATGTGGTGGATCTATAGGCATATGAGTTAGTCGTGTGATGATCTCTAATGTTCTCACTCTGAGTCCAGTACTCGAGTAAGCATAGAAGTTGTGTCGGTACTACAAAGAGGGACCCATGTGGGGTTGGACTTTGGGACTGCAGGTATTGTGGAAGTGAACTCAAATGAGTCGGACTCTTGGATCCTTGTTTTGAGGCTTTTGGCCTAGTTGAGTAGGCACTAAGGACTTGAGTCTTGAGGTGCTACCCGAAGCGGTAGGCACTAAGAACCATGAGCCTTGAGGTTTTACCCGACGATGTAGGCACTAAGGTCATGATCCTTGAAATGAAACTCCAAAAAGTAGGTACTAAGATTATTGAGTCTTGAGGTGCTATCCAAAGTGGTAGGCACTGAGAACCATGAGTCTTGAGGTGCTATCCGTTGGGGTAGACACTAAGGCCATGAGCCTTGAGGTGCTACTTGGATGAGTAGGCACTAAAGGTTAATTGAATCTTGAGCTGCTACTTGATAGAGTTGATGTATGACTTATTCTGTGTTTGTAGGTCTCCCCTGTCATTGATAAGTGATATTTTTGGATAGTGTATTCCATATTTTCGGTGTTGTTTTGGGTTTGGAGAGTATCCATAATTTATATTTTAGTAAACTGGATCTTATCCATGTTCTAATTGTTTTGGATAATGGAGTTTTATCCATGTATTTAGTATTTGATAATTAATTCTTATTTGTATTTTTTTCCTGAGTATTAGGAACTTTGTTTCATGTCAAATGGGTGTTTTAATTAATAAAATTTCATCACGAAAATTGTGGGTTTGAAAAGATATTGCTTTTACGATAAAGACATTTCATTTGAGAAATTATGATTTAAATAAGCAGTCTTTTCGCTTTACCGTTTTATATAACTGATGAAAACTGCTTGAACTCACTAAGCGTTAAGCTTAACATTTTCCTTTGTCGGCATGTGCATTAGGTTCTTAGGAAATGGTACTAGCGACAATGTAATGAGTTGAGTGCTAGTTAGAGACACGTGAATGATTTAGCCATTTGGGGATGTCTATCGTGTTTGGTGAAAGCAACTTTTATGGAGTTTTAGTAACACTTGTCCTTAACTTAGACTTTACATAAGATTTGGATTATTGTTTATTGATGTTAAATCTAGAATTATTATTTGAGGCAATCGAGTATTGATTTATAGAAAGAGATTTATTCTTTATTTGGTTTATTATCAAAAAGTTTAAATTAGTCGCTCTTTCCAGATTTGAGGGTGTTACATTTATACTTAATTTTGTTTATTTTATACTTTCACTCAAATTTATTTTTGATATTTTATTTAAAAAAAAAACTATAGCATAGCTGTTGGAGATGATTTAACATCATTTTCAACAGATCTTATAGATAAGTTTGAGTTTGGTTTTGATTTTATAGAACAATGGCAGGAGAAAAAGAGGGGTGACGAAAAAGGATATGGAGGTCAGTGGCAGGAGTGCCAAGGACATGGAGGCCGACAGTGAGGGAGCATCAGATGTGTCTTAGGGAATAAGAAGAAGAGAGGGACTACGAGGGGGATGTGTGTTTTGACTAAGCTTTTTCTTTGAAACATTTTAAAGACTCGTATATATGTTTTAAACATTTGTACAACAAAACAAATTTTAAAAAAGAAAAATGACTAAATTGCCCTTAACATCGTTAGCACGTGAAGACACTTAGGGTGCGTTTGGTATGCAGACTAGATGGGACGGGATGGGACAAAAAAAAATAGTCCCATGTTTGGCATGCCATGGACAAAAAATACATGGGACAAGATGAGACTATTTTTAAATTTCATGGGACAAAACTTGATAATTTTTGTTCCACCATATGCCCATATGCAAGCACCAACTGTATCTTCCATATTCCCAATCTGGGTTCTCCTCCCAGACTAATGCCATCTCCTATAACAACTTTATTCCCATCATCATCTATCTCATGCTGAAGTGGGCTGTTTAGCAAGTCTAGCACAAAGACCGCAACAACTCGATGTACTCAGAAACAGATTCTGGAAATCTTTAAAATAAATAGCTCATTTACCTCAATATGACTGTTGCAAAGTTGTCTACGGCTTTCGTTTCGTGTGTCACAACTTTACTCGGTGTGAAAACAAGAGAAATATTTTTAAGGAAAAGAGTGCAAGATCTTGACATGGAAAATTGTGTAATTAAAATATATTTTGGTTGATTTGTTGTCATTTTACAATCATTATATAATACAAAATAACATTGAACAACATTTAGGGGTAATATGGTCATTTTAACAGTTTTGTCATGTCCTGTCCTAGTCGTACCAAACATAGGACAGACAATTAGTCATGTCCTAGTCGTACCAAACATAGGACAGACAATTAGTCTTGTCTCGTTCTGTCTCATCCTGTCCCGTACAGTCTGCATACCAAACGCTACCTTAATGGATGCTTTTAGCAAACATCAAGGACAAGAATGTGAATCGTGTAACAACTTGAAAAGATGAGAACATTGGTGTAAGTTTGAAAGTCTTGTGACATTTAGTAAGGTTTAAGTAAACCACATGGACGATTTATGTACTTTACTCCAATAAAAATGCTTTATATGGATTCTAGTTGTATGTGGATGTGATGATGACGACGACGACGACGATGATAGAATAATGTATACGTTTTCAAGATGTTCTTTTTTATTTTTTACATAAAATTTCATATAAAACGTTTGATATACTTTGGTATATTTTGGTAAACTAGACTATATATATATATATATATATATATATATATATATATATATATATATATAGGCAGATTCAAACGAGAAGACGGTTAATTGACGATAAGATGAGAAGAAATATGTGTCATACAATCTATTAATTAAAGAATACCATAAATAAATGAAAAATAATTTTAGAAATTAGGAGAATTATCGTTCTGAATTGGATAAATTCTTAAAAATCTCATGGTATCTTTTAAACTTATTTATTTTTATAATTTAAATTAATTATTAACATTTTTATCAAGTTTTATATAAAAAAATTAGATACAATTTGATAAAATAATTTTACAATTTTCATTAAATATCACATGTGATATCTACGATAATTGTGATTTTCTTTATCATATGTGATTGTATATATTTACATTTATATTTCTTTTTGTGATATAAATATTATCACATGTGATGATACATCACTTATTCACTTATATTCATACGCATATTATCATATGTGATATGTACAAAAATTCATATAATGGATCATATTGATCAACATATGATATGTAATAGATCATATGGTAAAAGAAAAAAAATTAAAAAATAATGGTAAAAAAAAAATTATGAATTAATCGTAGATCTCACATGTAATATTTGATTAAAAAAATTAATTTTTTTTTGTATCAAAGTATCTAGAAAAAAAGGTTATATAGAACCTTATAAAATAATTGTGAATTATTAAAATAAATAAATTTAAAAGATATAATTAGATTTTTGATAATTATCCTAATTTAAAAAAAATATGTTATTTCTTATTTTATAGATTATGTGTCTCATATTCCTTCTCGATTTTCCGAAAATTAGTTAGCTTCCCGCATGATACTCCTTATATATGTTTATACACACACGATATAATAGTGGAGTATGAGTGAGTTCAAACAAGAACATCCACAATTTACGAAAATAGAACCATATAGATAATCTGTTGAAATAAACAGAAAACAAAATCTATTTTCTTTAACCACAAGAGTGGTGCATGATTGGTTTGAGCTTGACTCTAAATGTCAAAAGAACCTGGAGGTCTCAGGTTCAAATCTAAGGAGGAATAAAAATTCTATTGTGGCCATGGAGGTTCAAATGCGGTGACTCCGGGCTATCTGCAAAGCAGATGGTCGTCCTAGGATTAGTCAGCTCGCATAGAGAGTTGAATATCCAAGTTAATAAAAATAATAATAATCTACTGATGATGCTACAGTATTCTATTTTAAAAAAATTAAAGCATTTGCCACAGTTTCTCTAAAACGAAGAAAATGGAAAAAATGAGGATTTTAAGTCAATATTTTTCTAAAACTATCATCAAAATGAAAAAGGTAGGAGAGAGAAGAATTTTTTCTCCCGATATAAAGATTACCCCAAAAATGATTACTAATTAAGAGCATTAGTAAAAAATATTTAAAAAAAATATTTAAAAAATATATATAATATTTTAATATTATAATCAATATCAGATTTTTCAAAACACAGAATCTTTTCAAGCATTAATGTAATTTTTATAAATATTTTAATTTTTAATTTTAATTTTAATTTTAATTTTTAATTTTTAATTTTTAATTTTTAATTTTTAATTTTTGAAGAATATTATGGGAGGAGATGCTTTGTGAGTGATTTTGTTTGGACCTGCGGAAGAATAAATAAATAAATAAATATATATATATATATATATAAATATATATATATATATATATATATATATATAAATGGTGGAAGCCATGGGGATGAGAGTGTGGATAAAACGTGGAAGCCATCCGCCAATCAAAACGCCTTGAAATCCCTTCTCCTGGCCCCAATTCTCTATTTCAACGCCCGCCAATCTTTCTCTTTCGATTCCGAAACCCATCTTCAAGTTCCTCTAATCTTCTGTCGCCATAGCTTAGGGTTTTCTGCAAACGATTGGGGTGTGTTGTGTTCAACAATGGCTGTATCCACTGCTTTTGCTGGGCCAAAACTCGAAACACTCTTCTTCAGCAATGCCACTGTTACACCTGCTTCATCATCCCCAACTTCTCATTTTCAAATTGGGGTTTCGTCTAAACCACGAAGAACCCTAATTCAGAGAGGCAGTTTTAGGTGCGAAGCTGCTGCTGCTTCTTCTTCTTCTTCTTCTTCTTCGGAGGTTGTTGTGGAGAATTCATCGGGAAATGCTTCCAGCCTCTCTGCTCTTGAGCAGCTCAAGACCTCCGCAGCTGACAGTAAGTCTTCTTCTAGTTCGTTTTCGTTAAAGCTTCTTAACTGAACAACTACATTTTCATATTTGTGCAAAATTGAGAATGGACACTTGAACAAATCATCAATCAGTATTTGAAAAAGTAGTGCTCATATACAGAATCATCAAACAAAAGAGATAAACATATGAATAAGCCAAAGTATATTACTTAAAAGATGCTTAATGGATATACGAAAATAAATTATGTTGTAGTTCATTAAAATGGCTGAAAGAATTAAGGGGTTGTTTGATTGGTCTTCCGGATTAAGTTTCTGTATGGATAAGATTGTGTGTGTGGATTAGTTTATCTGAATAGATTGAAAAGCTTTTCGTTTGGAAGGGTTTTTTCATAGATGGAAGGAGCGTGTATGTTAACTCTCCCCTAGAAGCTTATTGAATAAGCCACTTTCTTATTATCAAGCCACTACCAACAGTCATGTATAACTCACTGAATAAGCTCCGAGTCAGATTAAGCTGCTACCGAACAGACCCTAAGTTGGCTCGCTAGATGCTCCCTCTTTTGGTGAATCTCATGCCTTACCCCTCATAATATGAGGCAATAATGGTGAGGACTAACTAGCAATATATCAAGTGTTCTGTCTCAACTTCATGTGTACCAAACGAACCCAATATATTCCACTCGGAAAAGGGGTCTTGGGGGATGTATGCAGACCTTTCGTCTACCCCAAAAAGATAGAGCTAGTGTTTCCGTTTGAAAACCCATGGCCAATGCAAAAGTGTGACGACAAAGGAAAGGAGAACCAAGTTTTTGTTAATTGAGCTTTCAAGTTTCGTTTGTATTTGATTTGACATCATCATTTAGTTATATGGTAATTGTACCCAAATTAGCTCATGTTCATTTACGAAGTATCTTGTGGATGGATATCTTTCTCATTTGTTCTTGCTTATGCTGAAATCAGGGTATACAAAGGAAAAGAGTAGCATTATAGTTATTGGGCTCAGTATCCACACTTGTCCCGTAGAAATGCGCGAAAAACTTGCTATTCCTGAGGCAGAGTGGCCTAGAGCAATCAAAGAGCTTTGTGCTTTGAATCACATAGAGGAAGCTGCTGTTTTATGTACCTGCAACCGAATGGAGATTTATGTTGTAGCTTTGTCTCAGCATAGAGGAGTTAAAGAAGTGACTGAATGGATGTCAAAGGTACTTTCTTTTTTCGTCATCTAAAAAAGCAAAAGCAAAATTTCCATTTCTGTAGATTGGAATATGAATTGATTAGATCGTTTCTCTCAATCTGCAGACTGGCGGGATCCCAGTTCCAGAGCTTTCTGAGCATCGTTTTCTGCTATATAACACGGATGCAACACGCCACATCTTTGAAGTGTCAGCAGGACTCGACTCCTTGGTGCTTGGAGAGGGCCAAATTCTTGCTCAGGTGAAACAAGTGGCTAAAGTTAGTCAAGGAGTCACGGGCTTTGGGAGGAACATTAGCGGGCTTTTCAAGCATGCCATCATGGTTGGAAAAAGGGTCAGAACCGAGACCAAGATTGCTTCAGGCGCGGTTTCTGTAAGTTCAGCTGCCGTGGAGTTGGCATTGATGAAGCTTCCACATTCGGCCCATTCTACTGCAAGAATGTTACTCATTGGAGCAGGCAAAATGGGAAAACTTGTGATAAAACACTTGGTTTCAAAAGGGTGCACAAAAATGGTGGTCGTGAATAGATCCATAGAAAAAGTGAATGCACTTCGTGAAGAGTTTAAGGGTATTGAGATCGTATACAAACCCACGACAGAGATGATGAATTGTGCTGGTGAAGCAGATGTTATCTTCACCAGCACATCTTCGGAAACCCCTTTGTTTTTGAAGGAAAATGTGGCCGATCTTCCTCCTGTTAGCGCAGATGTTGGTGGTAAACGAATTTTTGTTGATATATCTGTTCCAAGAAACGTGGGTTCTTGTGTTAAGGATCTTGAAACCACAAACGCTTACAACGTGGACGATCTGAAGGAAGTTGTGGCTGCAAACAGAGAAGACAGGCTTAGAAAAGCAAGAGAAGCTCTAGTGATCATCGAAGAAGAACTAAAACTGTTTGAAGCTTGGAGGGATTCATTAGAAACCGTTCCAACAATCAAGAAACTAAGGGCTTATGCAGAACGAATAAGAGTTGCTGATTTAGAGAAATGCTTGCAAAGATTGGGTGAGGATGTGAATAAAGATACAAGAAGAGCCGTTGAAGGGCTGAGCCGTGGGATTGTTAACAAACTTCTTCACGGGCCATTGCAGCATTTGAGATACGATGGAAGTGATGATCGAACTTTGGATGAGACCCTTGAAAATATGCATGCTCTTAACCGAATGTTCAGCCTTGAAACGGAGATGTCTGTTTTGGAAGAGAAGATTCGAGCCAAAGTTGAACAACAGAAGTAAGTTTTCGTTATCGATTCTATTTTATATAACACACTTGTTTTTATGCCTTTCAGTCTGAATAAGAGGAAATTTCCTCAAAACTGTGATTCAAATAGATGAGATCTGGATTGAAAGAATAGTTACCCCCTTTTGTGTCTACTGATGTAATTTGAGTTTTGTCGTTTGGGTTCGATGATCTTGGATACCTGTTTCCCGAGTGTGTTCTTGAAACGTTGTTCATTCTTGTAATTACATTACTGATTTTTATCAATGTAAAGGATATAATTTTCTCATGTATTGCTTTGTTTGATCATCTTTTACTATTTAGATGAGGATTCTTTATGAACTTGTGGATAGCCCGGAGTCACCGCATTTGAACCTCCGTGGCCACAGAGTTTATTCTTCCTTGGATTTGAACCTGAGACTTCCAGGTACTTTTGACCTTTGGAGCCCAAGCTCAAATGATTTGTGCTTTCTACCTTGTATATAAACAAGTTGACACTCGATTATGAAACTCTATATGACATGCGAGATGCAAATATGCACTCATGAACACAACCTAGGGGTCGTTTACAAAATGCTTACTAGGTAAGCATTTACCGGGTCACTTGCCTTATCGGGTGAGCATAACAAGAACCAAAAATCTTGCTCAGTAGGAAATATGGCAACAACCGAGGTTCTTACCCAGTAAGTGAGGGAGAACACTTTTGCCCTGTAAACGCTTACCGCGTAAAAGACGCTTAGCAACAATCCTTTTTAATGGCTGATAATGTTACCTGACAAGGTAAGTGAGGGTAGTGACTCTTATCGGTATGTGAGGGTGGTGACTCTTATTGGTAAGTGCTTACCTAGTAAGTGTTTGGTAAACGACCCCTTAGACTTGTGTTTTATTGAAGTTTCTTGTCTCTTGCTTGGTTTCATTTGTTAGAACGGACTTAGAGGTTGTTTGGTTGGTTTTCCATTAAGTTATGTATGAATAAAGTTGTATGTGTGAATTAGCCTGTCTGTATAGATTGAGAAACTTTTTGTTTGGGAGGACTTTTCACATAGATGAAAGGAGATTGTGTTTTTTTAATTGGGAGGGGTAGGTTTGGAAAAAGTTAGCTTTTTGTGTAAAGCTCTCTCCTAAAAGCTTACTGAATAAGTCACTTTCTATATCATTAAGTCACTACCAAACAGTAATGTATAACTGACCGAATAAGTTGTAAGTGTCATTAAGCTCGTTAAAATACCAACAAACAAACCTTTAACAATTCTTAAGTATAAACCGTAGTGTTAAATTAGTAAGAAAACACAATTGATATTTGAATCCATCGCTTAACCTTCTTTACTTGGAACTTTAACGATGAATAAAACGAGTTATTCTGTAACCAAAACCCTTGGTATTTTACAACAAATAGCTGATTTCTCAATAACACGGGTCTTTTTACTTGCCTCCCCTTTCCCTTTCTTTCCTTTTCTTTCCTTCATAAAATAAGTTTCGAGAACATAACGTTAGTGTTTTTGGACCATTACCATTTTGTATGTGAAAATTAGGTTCCTATTAAACATTAACCATAAGTAACTCTTAGGGGCTGTTTACCCAAATGCTTACCTGGTAAGTGCTTATTTATAGGAGTCAACACTATAATTTATTTTGATGCGTAAGATTTTAGTACATCAAAACGTATTGAATGCAACAATCTATCGTGTAAACGTTGTAATCTTCACTTACCGGGTAGGACTCTCCATCATTTTCATTGTTCTTACCCGGTAAGATTATTGACCTTTGTCATGTTCATCCAATAAAGAAATTTATCCGGTAAGCACTTACCAAGTAAACATTTAGTAAACGGCCCGTTGATAACAAATCCCATGAGTTTGTTAATTAGATCAATATATATAGGCCCATTTAGATAGCAAATATAATTTAAAGCATGTAAGCCCACTTAAATTATTAGAAAATCCCAACAATTTCCATGTTGGGATCGAAATCCAGATCAATTCCAATAATTTTTATACTTTGATTATATTACATACAAACCTAGAATATATTTGACTTGAAAAAGTGTATAATCGAATGACTTGACTTGAAAATTTTAATCGAGTTCTCGAACGAGCTGAGTCAAACATCGGTGTTATGAAACTTGAGCCATTCAGTTAAACGAGTTTTAGTGTTTGTTCGAGATCAATCCGATCTCGACAATTATTAAGGTCGAGCTCGAGTATCTAGTTAAAAAGCTCGACTCGTTAACACCCCTAGTTATACACATCGCTTGTTAGACATGTTAACGTTGCCTTCGATCTGCATGACCATGGTTGACAATTGATTAACTCTTCCGATCAGTTGATCCTATTCAGTGTCTTTATATTTCACAACCTCTTATTTCTCTCTTCCAATAAATTAGAAACCATATCTTAACATTTCGGAAAGAAAGAGGATCTTCTCTCTTGGCTTAGGATATCAACAGGGTTCAGATCATTTGCATGAATATCGTGGAGCCAACAAGCTACGTTTGCTGGTTTAGATTCAGAAACAATGTCAAATGGTTACTGCTCGTTTTGGTAAAATTTTGGTACATTCTTTCTACTTTGTTTCGCATCAAATTTAGGTTATTCTAGAAGGTCCATGATAAGTCCTCTCTTAATTAGGCGTGTGCATCGGACGGGTTCGGGTGGGCAAACCAAAAAACTGATCGGATTTCGAACAAAAATCAAGACCCAAATCTTAGGTTTCGGATTTTGGATTGCTTCGGGTTCGGGTTCGGGTTGGTCGGGTTTCAGGTTGATGTCAGTTGGGTTCGGGTATTATTATAATTCAAAAAGTATATATATAAATTCAATCGATTGAGAGATTGATAAATCGATAGTAAGTTTAGAAATTATAAAACGTTTCCAGTGACTAGAATTCAAGATTTTTATAACATAATTTAGATAAATAAATATATTTATATAATATTTAAAAATATATGTTTAAATATATATTTCGAGTTTTTAGATGGATCGAGTGGCCAAAGATCAAACCCAACCCGAACCCAAATACCCCTCAAAAGTCATTCAAGTTTTGTACAAACACATTATTTTCGGTTCATGATCGAATTCAGATTTCAAACTATTCAGGGTTTTTTTTTATTATTATTAACCTGGATATCCAACCCGCTATGTGAGCCGACTAATCCCAAAACGACCACCTGCTTTGCAGATAGCCAAGAGTCACCGCATTTGAACCTCCATGGCCACAAAGAGATTTTTATTCCTCCTTGGATTTGAACATAGGACCTCCAGATACTTTTGACCTATGAAGCCAAACTCAAATCAATCAGACACTACCCTTGTGGTTTTTTATAATCCCTATATGAATTTTGGTATGTGGGGTGTATTTCATGTATAGAATAACTTGTGTAGCACATGGTGAATCGTGGTACCAAAATATATCACATGATGAAATTTACATAATTGCCCCCAATCCCCTTCTCATATGTGATATCTTGAGATTGACATGTACCAAATGTACCATTTGTTGACCTTCTTTTATGTAGGCCCCCTTTTTTAAGTATACAAGTTTGCCAAGAAAACACCTTAAAAAACCCATCAAAAACAAGTCTAATGATTTAATGCAATTTGAGGTGCATTGAGTACTATGTACATTGTGTGTTGTACTGGAATACACGTCGTTTTATTACGTTATGTTCGTGTAATATCTGGTATGCATAATTAATGCACGTCTGAGTGTCCATGTTGTAAAGATATTTTAGATCTCGTACTCTTAGTATTTCGAATCGACCCAATCATTCTCCGTTGTGGAAACCATCTATCTTTCGTGATGACAAAAGGGTAGGTTTCGTGTCATTAATAATATGTGTCGTATTTTAGAAATAACGACATTATATTCTTTTTTATAGTATTTGACCAATCGTTTCAAATATCGGTTTATATCTAACCAAACTTTTTCAATAATCCATTTAAAAGATATAGATTTAATTAAAATATCATTTAAAGTTATATATCTGATTATTTCCCTTATAATTAGTTAACGTGGCCTACAAATAGGTCTATCGGTTAAATGACATTTTCCCAATTTTTCTTTAAGTTATTTAGGGGTTGTTTACCGAACACTTATCCGGTAAGCATCTAGCGATAAAATTCAACACTATCATTTACTTAACGGGTAAGATTTTAGTCAACGAAAAATGGATTTCTATACAACGAATTACCTGGTAAGAGCTGACTGTGGTAAGAGTCATTGCCCTCACTTACCGGGTAAGACTTTAGGTTCTTGCCTCACTCTTACCGGGTAAGACTTTAGGTCCTTGCCTCACTCTTGCCGGGTAAGATTCATGGTCCTTTTCATGTTCATCCGCTATGGTAATGTAACTTGGTAAATGTTTACCCAGGTAAGCATTTGGTAAACAGCCCCTTACTTTTTGACTAGTTCTATAAAAAGTAAGATCAATCAAGAACATGATCATAGAACAACAACAAAAATAACAAAATCACATGTGACAACCTGACTCGCAACCTCATGTTGCAACCAGAGTCGCATGAATCACATATGATTTTAAATGTAAAATCACATGTGATTCAGTCATTTTCATATGCTTTTATTTGATTATTGTTCTCGTATTAATCTGTTTTAGTTTCTAAATGTAACCATATATAAGTATGTCACTAAACTTACCAGAAAAGTAAGTTTTTTAATTAGATTATCATTTAAAATAACTAAACTAAGTAATTTAAAAAAAATACGAGTTAAACGGAAGTCGTATAATAATAATTAGTTGTGTATCTGCACAATGCAGCGGGAGTCGTGAATTTTAACGATTTTGAAGTTTCATTGGTTTTATTAGAGAAGATTTAACGATGATATAAGTTACACTTGGTCTTTACATATTAATACAATTTGAATTAATAAGAGTTATGGATCCAACTACATTCTATCGATGAACAAAAATTATATGATAGTTTAAAATCCGATAAATTTAAAATCCAACATATTTAAACGACTCCACAAATGTGTTCGATTTACACCAAGAGCAAAAAATCAAAAGATCGAGAACGAGACTGAGAGTCTAGAGCAATTGAATGAAAGAACTTTTAATAACTCATGGTGAATATCAATTTGAATCTCACATTAGGGGATGAAGAGAATACATAGAGGTATGAAAGGGTGAAGACGTGAGTAAAAGGTGTCAAAAATATCTTAAGAACATAAAAAGAAAATATAATGAATATGCATTGGTTACTTATACTATATGTTATTTTAATTGTAGATTAAAAGATTTTAAGACTAAATGCATAAAATAGTAGTACTTAATGCATTATGAGTTGTTTTTAAAACATTATGCATAAATGCGTAATGCTTTATGCATTAAAAATTATTTTTATAACTTTTGATAAATCTGGTTTATCAAAAAATAATAATAATGATAATAATAATATTAGAGATAAGAATAAACAACAAATTACAAGTTGATTGAGTGAGCACGTGCCATATTCTTCTCTCCATTTTGATTCCATTCTCATTAATTTATTCACCATTTCTTCATTAACAATTTTCTTTTTTCTTAAATTAAAAACCAAAAATATTATAAAAAAATCTAGAAAAATAATAAAAACTAAAACCTAGCATTTTCAAAGCCGTGCAGATCGCTGACTCTGTTCATCGACTTCTTCATCACCGCAACTTTAGCCAGCTTCTCAGCCGCCCTCCAAGCCGACGTTGGCGTTAACGGCTCCCCATTTTCATCCACCATCATCACACCTTGTTGTTGTACCATCTGCTGCTGATATTGTACCCTCCATTCAACATCCATCAGTTCCGATTCCAACCCTTTTACAAACTCTTCAGCCGATATCGACTGCATTAACAGGCCCCGAGCCGATGATAGCAGATGATGAGCCGTCGTCAGCTTATTATGTTCCACCAGCAGCCGAGACTCCGCCACGGCTCGTGTTGCAATGAAGAGGTTTCTCAGCCGTTCGATCTTTGGAGAACAAGATGATCTAACGGTCTGTGCTCTAGCCACCAGCAACGCCTTTTCTCCACCGTAAACAGTTTCTTGTGTAGCCGGATCGTTGTAGCTGCACCGAGCCGATAGCACATGGTGCGACCCACTGTTTGACCGTGGGACCCTCATTTCGACCAAAACTTCCCTTTCTTCCTCAGCGTATAGATCTCCGAACCGAACTGAACCGGAGTTTAGCACCGTCGGTTTCCCGTTACATGAATAAACAGCGGTTATCTGAGCCGGGTCTGAACCGGGAGCCACACCTAGCTGAATTCTTAAATCTTGAGCCACCACGCTGAGCAAACCGCCGACACATTTCGTAAACGCATTTTCAGCCGGATCGTTTGTTTGATGGCTATACCCACTGGGTTTTTTTTCCAATGTGTGAACCGGTATTTCAACATGAGCGAAGCGGGTAGATGACACGTGGCAAGATGGTTGCCTTTGATTTGAATTATTATTATCCGTCACGTGCTCCTCCTGACCGTCGGATAATAGAATTATGCTGGCAACCGGATTTCTTTCACGCCGATCTTCAAGTACTTTGGTGGCTTTTCTGAGAGCTTCACCGGCGCAGGTACCTCGGCTACAAGTAAGCTGGTCAATAATACGCCGAGCCGAACGTTGACCTTTGGAAGTCATTCTTCTTAAAGGGAGAAGCCGTTTTGGGGAAGCTGAGAAAGCCACAATGGAGAGACGATCAGTCGAGCCGAGCGAGGAAATGACTAAGCGCATAGCTCGCTTAAGCATCTGAAGCTTGGCTCCTCCCATACTGGCACTCACGTCGAGAACAGCGACTAAATCAATAGGCGCACGTCTCGATTGGTTCAGCATATGCGCCGCCCCAACTGGCGGAGACGGTGGCGGAGCTTTGACCTTCAACACGACGGCGTAAGTCTCATGTGATTGAGTTGAAGAAATTACGGCAACTTCCGACATCAACATCACCTCCACATTCTTAAAATCTCGCCGGAATTCATCGGCTGTGGAGGAAGAGACCGGATTCACGAAGAATCCTTTGAACTCTTCATCAACGTCAACATCTTCATTCTCCTCCACCGCCTCCGGTATCGGAATAATTCCACCACCGCCGGCTCTTGGTGTTCGTAGTGGTTCGTCGTCATCGTATGCTTTTGGTTTGACGCAGGTTTCTTGCGATCTCGACAAATCGTGTTTTGATTTAGGAGTTGTGATTGAATTTTCCGTTTTATCATCGTTTAATTTCTCGATTTCATTGTTGGATTGAAGCTTGTGGATGGCGAGAAACGAACCATCTCTCCAAGCAGATTTGCAGATGGGGCATTCGAGAACCTTCTCCTTCTTCACATGTTTAGAAATACATGGAAAATGGAAGGTATGTGAGCATTCCGCTGTGAAAATGGCGGTTTTGTGGCCGGTTTTAACACTTTGAAGACACAATCCACAATTACTCTGCACATTTCAAGTTATAAATCTCAATTTCCAAACAAATTTGCATTTCTAGAACAGAAAAAATTCAAATCACGAAGATGAACTTACTCGTGAAAACCCCAACGAGCTTTTGAAGATCGAGAACGGAGATCTCGGAGAAGAAGGATTCGAACCTAGTAACGACGATTTCGGTTTTTTCATGTTGGTTTTGCATCTTAACCTGGGAGTGATATTGAGATTATCAATCACCGACGACTGAAACTTACCACCATCATCACCACCACCGTCGGATTTATCATTCGTTTTAGCACGTAACCGCAGTCGAGGTGTCGATACATTCGAATCAGTAACAGTATCATCAGCACCTCCGCCATTGTTGCTGTTTCTGGAACGTAAGCTCCAATTAGATTGCAATCGAGGAGTGGAAGGATTAGAAGCAGAAGAAGTCTTGAAGAAGGCAAGTTTCCCGGAAGACCGTGGGGTGGGATTTGGGTTTTGTTGGACGTCACCAAGAACAGAAGAATCGGAAGAATTTCTAGGGATTGTAGTGCAGAAAGCTCTTCGCCAACCAGTACCCATTTGGAATCAGGAGTAGGAAAGAAGAAGATGGATGAGAGAAGAGAGAAGGGGGAGAAGAGGGTTGGGGTTAAAAAGAGGGAGGGAGTAGAAGATGAAGAAGAACATGGGGGTCAGATTGAAATGATGATGAGAGGTTTGGATTTATATAAGAATGGTGACAAAATAAAATGGTTAGTAACATCAAAATATAGACCGGATTTGTACCCATTTGGATCAATTTATACACGTATCATTATTTATATATATATATATGGTTGGGTTCCGTTGAGAAGTAGAGTTAAGATGAGAAGCGTAATTTTTTTTTTACCTTTAGATACATATTAAGATGAGATGCACCAATTCAATCCTTGTATCAAATTTTATTCATGTGAAAGTTACCTTTGGGTGCATATTTGGATACACACACAATGTAGCGATACATCTCGATTTTAATGTTTCGTTTTTTCTTTGTCTCAGTCGATGTTATAATACGGTTTTATGTGGTTTTGAGAAAACGTAATGTTTTCATTTTTAAATAAAATATAAATATGAAGATATGATAAAAAAATTGAAAAAAATATTGATGTTACTACCAAACTAACTATTTAAAATTTCTCTTTTTTTTGTGTATTTCTTTAATTATTTTTTTAATTCTTGGTTTAATAATATAATTTTTTTACAAAGATAATAATTAAGTATTTTTTTAGAAGTTAATAACTATCCTAATTATATTTTAGATTTTTTATATTTAAAATGAGATGTTTATCCTTTAATTAGTTATGTTTATCTACAATTAGTTACATGATGCTTTAATAAGTTGTACTTACACACAATATACTTGTAGGGGGTGTTTGGGATTGCTTATCTGAACTGTTTTTTAACTTATTTCAGTCTGGCACCAGAGATAAGTTATTTTAGAGTGTTTGGGAAAAGAAAAAAAAAACTGCTTATACCGGTGTCAAACCAATAATAAGCAGTTTTTGATAAGTTAATCCTTACTGACTTATGAAAAACAACTTATCACCAATTTACCATTTTAACCCTCTTTAAATTTATCCAAACATCATATATGTCTCATCATCATCATCCCTTCCTCTCATCATCAATATCCCTTCCTCAAATATATTATAAATATATAATATTTTTTCTTGAATTATTAATGGTATTGGTATAAATGTTTGTTAATTATTAATCTTATTGATATAAATTATTAATCTTATTAATATAAATCTTTCTCAAATATATTATAAATGACGAAAAATAATTTTTTACATGTTAAAAAATCAAATAAGTTAATAAGCAATCCCAAACACTTTCATAAGTCAATAATATGGAAGACTGTCTTTTTGGTCATTTTACAGATATAAACAAAATTTGCCAAACACTAAAAAACAACTTATCAGCTTATTGCAGTTTGGTACCGCTATAAGCTAATCCAAACATTTTTTATAAAACTCCGGTTTGATACCACATAAGTTAATAAGTACTTTTACAAAAAAGCATAAGTTGTTTTAAATAAGCAATCCCAAACACCCCCGTAATCTTGAGTTTTAAGTAATATGCATTAATAAACAGTACTTTATGCATAAAAAATTGTTTTTAAGAGTTTTTGTCAAATTCTTTATAATATAGTGTATATATATATATATATATATATACATATACATATATACACTAGTTGTGTGTCCGCACAATACGACAGAATACAAAAAGTTCATTAAGATTTATTTTAATCGAAATATCTAATTTTTCTTAAGACGTCATAAATTCTACCATATTTGTAATTATCCACCTATCCAAAATATCGGTGCTCATAACTTCTGCAGTCATCCATAAAATACAAATCGTTTCTATGAATTGTGTATAAAGACAAACCCATTTGTTAGTGCAATGAATAAGATTCAGAGCGACTATACAGTCTCGTTGAACGATAAATCTTCTCGCTGATACTTTTTTGGGTCATTCGACTCTAAATCAAATTCTTTTCCCAGACTGATTAAAAATTATAGAATTATACAAAATATGCATCTATCCAAAAAAATATTTCAAAGATATAATGTTATCATGCCACAAACAATTTAAATAATTACTTGCACATGATTGAAACCAAGCCCCATTGTCAAACATGTTTTCACGACAGATCAACAACAAAAATTCACCACCAAATTTCAGAATTCTCTTCATAAAATCCAACTGGACAAAAATTCAAATACCTACATAATTTTTCAAGTAACAATTTACAATCTAGAATAACTTACGCTCAAAGATCTAAAAAAGCAATAATCAAGAAATGCTCTGCTTCATTTGCTACCTGCATTTAGAACTCAAGATCATGATAAGAGACCAAAGGGCCTTCGGCCTAGCGGTATCGTAGTCCTGGGCCTCCTAGGAGGTCAAGGGTTCAAACCTCACAAACGGTGAGGAGGGTGTGTGAGTTTATTTGTTGTATTTGCCGTATATAGATATTATATACTTAAAAAAAAGATCATGATAAGAGAGAAAGAAAATGAAATATGTGTCCCAAACAGGATCACTTTCATAAACGCCATATGGGTGCTTCTATGTACATAGTTGACATAACTTTCTTTTAACTACGATTTGTCTTAATAATTACATCAAGAAAATAAAAGATTTTCATAGAAAAAGTTCTGAGCCAAGACTAAATGTCAACTTAACTTTGACCTTAAAAAACACTATGTTCTGACATTCCAAAATTTGAAAACGACACCATGTTTTGTGAGAAGGGCACTGGAGCTATGATAGAAACACTCACTTTTAGGTTTGTAATGTTTGTAACGTGTAATAATGTTTGTAGTGTTAGTACACTGTTTTCCACAAAATCAATGTTTGCAACTGAATTTCATGCATTATTGATAACTTGCAACTTTTATAGTGTCACGAAGAAACAAAAAAGGAAAGTTTAAACAGTTTCTGCAACAGACAAATACCATCCACATTTAGTAGAATTAAGGCACGTACCCCACAATATATTATATTGAAGAACTTATATAAAAAGAATTCCATTTTTACTCATAAATATAATAGGAAATCTTTTGTAATTGTAAACACATTTTCAAACAACAAAAAATTTCTATATTACCCATCTAAACCTCTTTCCAAGATCTATTACATCTAAATTATAAAAAGAAAACCACAAGGGTGATGCCTGATTGGTTTGAGCTTGGCTCCAAAGATCAAAAGTATCTGGAGGTCCCATGTTCAAATCCAATGAGGAATAAAAATCCCTTGTGGCCACGGAGGTTCAAATACGGTGACTCCGGGCTATCAGCAAAGCAGGTGGTCACCCTGGGATTATTCGGCTCGCATAGCGGGTTGGATATTCATGTTAATAAAAAAAAATTATAAAAAGCACATCATCTAATTTTAACTCATTCAAATCCTATTTAAGTACATCAGCAAAACTCTAGTTCCCATTTTCAGCATCATCCTCTTGGTCATTGAAGTAGTATAATCCTTTTGCCTACACTCCAATTCCATCTCCTGGTTATTTTGGTCCTGTATATCACACTACCATTCTTATCCAATGCAATTGCATCATGTCTTTCCTTGAACATTGAATGGTTATCAAGAGGGTAAAGTTAGCATCATATATGCAATAATATCATGCAAATTATACATCAGTTTATCATTTTTTATCATATACACAAATGTATGTTCTACTTTGACTTGTCCATCTTCAAGTTTGATCATTCTTTTTCAGTTTCTGAGACCATGGATGGATGGCATTCTAGTTCCAAAGCTATGATGTCTCTGTCTTATTATACACTTTCTGAAGTCATTTGTTTCTTCCCATAAAACATATGAAAATAACACAAGGGTATACATTAAGCATTACAATTATCCACATGTAAATCTACATGCTTCTGTAAGATTTCAAACGAACAACTACATCACTGGATGCATTCCTTAGCCGAAGATTTAACATTTCTCTCTCCATATTTCAACCATCCCACGTAATAACCACCTAATTCTTTCAAGATTTAGATGTGATACTAAAGGCAGTCAAACAGAAGTGTGTTAAGCAAATACATAAAGTGAAGGTAACCTTGTTAATACGGTATATGGTAAGGGGAACATAACTCATATATAATGAGAGTAATAACATTAGCATGAGATGGTTCATACCAAAAAAGGTGACTTATTCTGCAGTAGAAGTAGTTCTGTTGGGGAGAAGTCTTGATCTAGCATCTCTTAACTGTTTATTAGAGAAGTGATAACTTTTGGTCTAACAGAAGAGCTCGAAGGTGTTGTCTGATGTCTACCTAGAAGCAGATAAACCATATACATTAAGTTAACACTCCAACTATGTCCTATTAACTTAATGCAACATGCAATGTACTATGTTTGATATGCTTTGGGAAATAGATATGACAACACCTGGCACAATCATTCGAAAAGTCCTTGTACCTTCACAAATCCAGTGCTGAAAATATACGAGTCCCTCAAAATGAGAGCTTTAGCCTGAAAACAAAACAGTAACAAATTGTTAATACATCGGTCTTGTGAACCACATATAAATGTTTGAGGAAAAAACACCTTAAGTGCCATCTGTACAGATGGCCAAAGAGACAACATCTTGTTTGCATCTTGGGGAACAGGTTGGTGGTAAAACCAAAACTGAATCAATCCTGCATTGAATAGTGAAGAACTTGGTGAAAATAGCCTTCCAACAAAAGCCTATTCGTGCCAATATATTCATTAAGAGATGGGAAGTTAATTACTATAAGGCTCAACAAAAGTAATGCAATATCCCATCAAAGGGAATAGGTCAATAACAAAAAGTGTTATGGTGAGAAAAAAAAAACTTTTATAAGAAGCAAGGAAATGCATACGAAAGTGTATCCTAAAACCAAGGTTAAAAATCTTACGACCCATAATCTATGCTCTTCTGATGGCAGGTTTCGTTCATCGTATATAAACAAAAAAAAGTCCAATACTTCAGGTATAATATGTTATACATACTACAACAGAAACTCTAAAAGATTTGGTGATGTGCATTGAAAATAACATCGAAAGAGAAGCAATCGAGCTTTTGGGAAGAGCAGCAATAGA